TTGTTTTCGGCCAGACACTCCTGACAGATGCGTGTGATATGCGGACGTTAAAGTTGGCACCAATGGCCTCCTCTCTCTCGTTTGCTGCTAAACGTGGCACGATGACCGTGTGTGACATCTTTCATTTTTCCTCCGGGTTTTTAAAGCCTTCACCAGCTGAGCTCAAATCATCGAAAGAACTCATTGAAAGTTTTCAAATGATGTCCTTATTACTCACACATTGAAAAGTAGGGATTGGAACAGTCCAGCATGTTATTTTGTTCTTTGGGCTGAAACGTGTGGCTCCATTGTTTCATAACCCATGACTGATCGTAAACAAAACAGTTTTCGTGTACAAAGTTTTTTAATTTAAAATAATTTGGCATTTAACTTTGTTGCGTTTTTAATGCCTCTTAGTGTAGTATCTAGTTTTGATAGTTTCAATGTCCATTAGTGTCTGATTTTTGATACTTTTTACAACTCTAGTGTTGACTATAATTCAGTCATTATCACAACAACACTGTTTACTATTTTTACTAGTTTCTCAATAAAATGAGATGAAAATAAGGCAAATCTAAAGTTTATGGTTTAGATACTTGAACATATATTTTAGCAGAAATTTTTTATACTTTTTAAAATCTGGTTTTACAACTTGTTTTCTTACCACTGATTGAGCAGACCATCTATCTTCATGACTGAATACACTTTGGCTTAGAGTCTTACCCCTGGGTTTGGTTCTCCATCGGCTCACTCCATCTCCACCTACTGTATTGTCTCTGCTCGGTGTAATGACATTTCCATCCCCCTCCCTCCTGACTCTCATCTGCCCCCACCTCATCCCCTGTCTCTTTAAATCACCTTTTATTCAGATGATGTGAGATGTTCTGGTGGGGGTTCCAGGTTGTAAATGGTTAGGAGGCCAGCCGCCCTCAGGTGGGCTTGTCCAGGATAATGAGGACCCCAGGACTGTTGCATCAGACGAGCGCATACCGAGCAAGTTCTCCTACGCCTGGACAGGAACAAAGAGCCCATTGCCAGAAAATACTTTATGCTCTCTTGTTCTAAGGATTTTAACATGGAGTGTCCGTGTCAAACTTTTAAATCCTGTCGTCAGTCAAGGTAGTGTTCTAATCTCTCTGGACAGTTTTTTTTTTGTTATTGGATAGAAATACAAAAAGTTTCTGAAAATGATCTCCTTTTCACTTTTATAGACAATATACCAGAAAAGAAGTCATGATTTTCTGCAGCCTAGATTATTATTTTGCTTTGTGTACACTGAGTAGGTTTGTTTTTACGGTCTACAACCAACTACATCTTCTGAAGCTTCACTCAGACTTCAAACTGAGCATCTGCGACTCCTGTGTTGGAGTGATATTCTTGCAAACTTGCTACCACTCGCATGAAGAGTGAAACTTTGCTGTGCTGTTGTGGTATGAAAGCTGTGTTTGCGAGATCACAGTAACTAACCATGTCTAAAAGGAAAAGGATTTCAGTGGGCTCCAGTGTCCATTCTGACCTCCTCTTGTTACTTTTGATACTCTACAATTCAGGCAGCCACCATATTGCAGTTGCGTCAAGAGCACTTCGGGACTCGTATGCATTCCGCAAGACAGGCTACGTTCAGACTGCAGGGCTTAATGCTCAATTCGGATTTTTTTGTGAAATCAGATTTTTTTTTTTTGCGAGGTCTTTCACATTTCCAATTAATTACGACTTGTATGTGATCTCCACTGTGAACTTTAATCTTCCCAATATGCGCATTGGAGGACGTCACACACAGCGTGTGACGAGTGTGCTCAGTGTTTATGGAAGTTGTCTAAACGCTGGGCTTGTCTCCCAAAATATGGTCCAGTTCTTTGTAAAATGGACAGGTTACACGTCCATGGCCGTTTTGTTTGTTTGAGTCTTTAGTCTCCTTGTATTTGGCTCAGGCTCTTTATTTTTCATTGACATTAGAGCCAGGACGTCTGTAGCAGCGCTTGGCCATTTCTTTGCCTTAAAAAAAACACCTAGTTCTGAAAAGACCCCTTCAATTTGGCCTGAATACAGTGATCCCCCCAAATATTAATGAATTCGTTAACCTCGTTTTCCTAAATTGACGAGATTCCGAGCCTGATGTGTAGGTGGGATGAATGTGACCTTCAGACTGAAGTCTCATGTCAAAAGATCAGATATGTATTGGTTTTAGGAGCACATGTCATTAAAAGGTCAGACACAGGTCACATAGGGGCAAAAAAATCAGATTTGGGCACTTCAGGCTGCAGTCTGAACTTAGAAAGTCTTTTAAAACCATTGCACCCTGCCACCCTGACCTCTGAGGAGTGTGGGTACGGGCGAGGCGTGGGTCTACGGGAAGAATTCGCAAGAAGTCTATTTTTGCTGGACCCTGCTGTGGTCTGGAACGGATTTCAGGTCATTACACGTGAATTATTGTGTGAACTCACGTGAAACCGCATCGCTTTGGTCAAATAGGCACTGCAGTTGTCGTAGTTGGTGTAAAAGTCTGCGAGCACTTACCACACCGCACTTGCAGTCAGTGGAAATCCAGCGACATTGTCATTGGTTAAATCCTCACTCAAGAGAGCCGCGTCAAACGGAGAAGCACAGATGGACGATTTCAACATCTTCATAGGGATCGGATCGCAATTTTGTTTTCACTGTGACGTCCAAATGGGAAGTCCAGCAGGGAAGCTGGCAGAGGGTCGTCCATTTGTCTTGACTTGCTCTACAGCAGCCACAGTCCATGTCATGAGTTCAGTCATCATCTCCGCTGCCAAACGTGCTCCGGTGCCAACTCACGCTTCCTCTGCCCGGTCTGCCAAGCCAACACTTCAGTCCTTATAGCTCTCGTCCAGCGTCAACGTCAACCATTGTTTTCAGTCACTCGTGTTGAGTCTGCTCCTCTTGCCTTCGTATACTTTTCTCCTCCCTTGTCTTGGAGTAGAAGATCTCTCAAAAAGCTGGAGTTTATTTTGGCCGTGACGTCTGGAGAAGTCTGCTGAAAATGTGTTTAGATTTTCTCACATAGTCAAAATGCCCTCAGTGACTTTTGAGCAAATATTTGTTTTAAGGTCACTTTAATTCGAGTGGACCATGGACCTCTGTGCACGCTGAAGGCCAGAGAAGTAACAAACACGGTCACGCAAAATCGAAAAAGTCTTACTATTTGTGTTAACTTTTACAAAATCATTAGCAAAGCTGTTTTGTTGTAGTTGCATAGTATAAAATCTGATGGAACTACATAGACCATGATGCTTTGCTGCTCATTGTAACCAACATTATACACGTTTTTATTCAAACCATTTGTCTTTTTGGGGCATTGTGAAATCGGTAGCTATCTAAAGGTTATTTTCTGACCATACTGTGAGATATTATTACATCCCTATAGTAAACAACTGGCTTCTCCTGCACTCCCACAATGCATTGCCACTATTTGGAAAGGGCCCCATTCGACAACTGCTTTTGTGATTGACTCTGCCTCTGTTTAATCTTGAAACCATCAGCTCTCAGCCCCGCTTCTCTTTAAATTGAGTTTGAAATCACTGTTCCCTTTCGCGAGCCTCTTTAGAAAACCTGCTGGATTTCCGAACAGTTTGACTTTGATTCTTGGATATGTTACAGCCCCAGGACTAGTTCAGCAAAGCCACAGCTACTGGAAGTCAGCCCAAACAAGAAAACTCCTATGTAACAAATATATTTCTACCAAGCGCTCGTACTCTATGGAAGTGGTCATGGTTTGATTTAAGACATATTCGCGTTCACTCCGTTTGCTGTGAGTTTGTGATTGTCTTTATAAATGTCCTCTTCTCATAACAGTCTCTTTTTATTTGTGGTATTTGGAAAGTCTAAATGTGTGTTTAAGGGTTTTTCAAGTTTTAAATGAGGAGTTAAAGATGTTTTGTTTCTCATTGTGAAATCTAATGTTAAAACTGCAGGAATTCAGGATTTAAATCTTAAGCTCGGTAGTTTGTAATACTTAAAATGCAAGAAAAGGACTTTTACATGTGTCGAGATTTCTTTTTTTCAATACTTACTGTTATTTCAGACCAAATGATTTGCCAAAACGGGAATTTTTTTTACTTATCCCAAACTTAAATTCAAGCTTAAATATCTTGTAATTACTATTAATATTTTAGGTCATATGTGCAATGAAGTCTAACCTAACCCAAACTACTAATGACCAGTGTTGGGGAGTAACAGATTACATGTATTGGCATTATGTAATCAGAGTACAAATTATGAGTAACTGTATGCAGTTACAGTTACAGTTAATGTTTCAGTGAGTGGTAATGGGATTACAGTTACTTTGTTGAATTAAATGGATTACATGGTGGTATTTTCCTGTTTTCCTGTTTTCACATTTTGGGCTATATCCCACTTTTTTTTTTCTTTTCTTTTTTTTTTTTGGTAATTCCACTCATTGCCGGAAACTAAACCAAGTCTTAACTAGATCTAAACCAGGTCTAAACCAGGTTAAAACCAGGTCTAAACTAGATCTAAACCAGGTCTAAACCAGGTTAAAACCAGGTCTAAACCCGGACTAAACCAGAACTAAACCAGGACCAAAACAGGACAAAAACAGGACTAAACCAGGATTAAACCAGGACTAAACCAGGACTAAACCATGCTGCTCGGACCGTGTCTCCTCCTCTTCTATCAATAATATTTTTAATACGGTTCAGTAAAGTCTGGGTTTTTTATTTTCTTTTATCAGACAAAACATCTTATGTGAAGATTTCCTCGTCTTTGCTTCTGTACAGCAAATCAAGTAATCCAAAGTATTCAGATTACATTACTCACTTTAAGTAATTTAATGGATTACGTTACAAACTACATTTTGGTGTATGTAATCTGTAATCTGTGGGGGAATACGTTTCAAAAGTCACCTTCCCAACATTGCTAATGACTACAAAAGTCATTTCACCAGAGGATACATATTATTAGTTAGTTAGTATGTCTGAATTTGTCTGTCTCGCACTAACCCTGTCCTGTGCTCTTGTGTCTGTGTGTTCTGTGTGCAGGCCTGTATGAACTGTTGGCAGCTCTGCCCTCACAGCTGCAGCCTCATGTGAGCCGGCCGGAGGACAGCAGCTTCCTCCAGAACATGTTCAGAGAGAGGAGTCTGCACTCACTCATCAAGGTATCCCGGGCCGCCATACTCCAGCACGACAACAGGCTGTGTGCACAACAGCACCCACACAGATCAGGCAGTGGACAGGAAGCTGACACAGTCACTGACAACATGAGGTTAACACTTCACTGGAGGACACTTATGAGAGTCTCTAATAATACCATCAATTTCGTGACAAATTTACACAAACTAGAACCAAGCACTCAAGCACTCATGCACTATTTCAGGTCACACACACTCTGGCTCTCTTTCTCAACCTCCCTCATTTCTGTGTAATATCACTTGTACATCGGGGAGTTTATTGTCATTCCACTGGCCTCTCCTCTCCGTTCAGATTCTGTAACAGCCTCAGTGCCAGGCTGCTGTGAGCTCCATCAGATACTGTAGTGTGGAGCTCCATCAGCTCCTGGTGTGTGGAGGATGAGCAGTGATGAGCGCAGCATGTGTCTGTCTGGACTGTGGCTTTCTCCTCACTCTGCACCTGCTTGATTTTCCTTCTAATACAAAATACTGACCTTTAAAGTTATGCACGAGAACATAATATTTTATTATTATATTATTGCATTGTCAGATGTAGTTGAAGATATTTGGAATTGCTTTTTTTAGTTAAAGCAATTTTCCAAAGGTTCTTAATGTAGGTAGGGTCGTAACAAAAGATTATTTTGGTATTTGAATAATAATAGTGCATTATTCTTATATAGCACTTTTCCAGATTGTCTAAGGCCATTAAGACTTTTGTGCATTATTCATTCCACTCTGTTGTCACCACAGCTGCCCTGGGGCAGAGTGAATGAAGCGAGGCTGCCAATCTGCGCCATTCGCCCCTTCGACCAACACTCACACACCACATTCGAGACTAGGCAATGTAGGTGAAGTGTCTTGCCTAAGAACACAACAGCAGTTTTTGTTACTGGCGCCCCACTGTGGCACCTGCTCTTCTCAGCGCTCTCCCATCCAAGTAGCAGGTCCAGTCCTGCTGAGCTTCTGAGATCTGACAGGATCAGGCTCTGACAAAGTGTTGACTAGTCTTTGATTATTCTTTCATGTAGTCAGCTTCACATACTGTTTATGTTTTATCCTGTAGCCAGTAGACAGTATGAATGGAGTTGACTTGTGTGGGCCTGTACAAGTGGCAACAACACTCTTCTGTGGCTAACACCTTTACATGGAGGTCGTCTGAAAACCATGTTAGTTTTTACAGAACTGAATCTTGATGCAATAGAAAACATGCCTCTGAGGTGTGCCTGTTTTTGTAATGGTTGAGGTTAAGATGTAACAAGTCTCCAGCAGGAGCTGCTGTCTGGCCCAGGGGAAACCAGGGGCTCTCGTGTTTGGACTGTTCTGAATGACTAAAGAGTGAGGATGTTGAACAAGGATAATGATGGGCAGGGCCTCCCAAAGAAAACAGTGTAGTGTGGCCCAGATAAACTGCTGCTAATGAAGCCGGGATACAGTTTCTCTGATATTTCTGCACACGCTCACCTTCCACTAAACACCTCTCATTATGGGGTTAATCCTGCCCAGGAATTCACTGTCAGCAAATGGTTTTAACGCAGACTTGTTCAGGAAAATAATATGTTAAAATATAAGCTTATTTTATGTGTATGACCTCGAGATGAACCTTTTATAGGTCCTGTATTCTGCAAAATGGACTCTTATGAGCTTTAAGCTGTGTTATAATGTTTTCTCCTCAAAAACAGACCTGGAGTTGTGTTTTTTTTCATTCATACATGTTTGAGTAACACTTTATTATTAGTCTGTCTACATCTCCAAAGCTCAAAATGTTTTGATCCATCTTGTGATGTCATGAATTGGTAGTTTTCAAGTTAAAGCTGCACTATATAACCTTTTTGGTGGAGGATCTGCCTACATTTTTGTCTCCATAACCATGTAATTGCTTTGCTTGGTTCACAGTATAGTATTAAACTTAACTAAACTTAACTCTCTCCATGGTAACAAGCAGGAGATGCCACCAGACCAAGATAACGGGCAGATCTGTGTAGGACAGGGGTCTCCAACCAGTAGCTCCGGAGCTACAAGTATGTATTGTTCTGAGTAACTCAAATTTGATTAATTAAATGCCTATTATTATTGTAAATCCATCATTTTGATGTCTGACTTTGTGCACTCATAAATAAATAATGGTTTATGTCAGGGGTCTGTTACCTTTTTCTTCTGGTGAGTTACCTTTACAAAACAAAAATGCCAGAGAGCTGCTAATGTTAGCGGTTGTAAGAAAGTAGAGAAAGTAGAAGAGCAGAAAATTGGTTATTGGAAAGAAAGTTGGTGTTGGGGCGGAGGCTCAAGCCGGGGGGCAATTGTTGTCAAGGTGGCTGCTCTAACTATAAAGTGCTGCGGAAAACACTGCCTTTATCCATTTATTAGTGCACAAGTTAGGAATCAAAATTATACATTTACAGTGTTAAATAATCTGATTTTAGTTCTTAACCACAATACATATAATTCTAAAAATCCCATGGCGAGCTACTTAGAAGGGGTGGAGAGCAACAGGTAGCTCCTGAGCTACAGGTTGGAGATCCCTGGTTTATGTTTTATCTAACTCTACCCCATCTAAGTCTTGCCATGGCTCTTATGTACACTTTATTCCCTCCGACCTCTAAAATGAGTAGTTCTGAGCAGTTTTCATTGTGTAAAGGTAGCTCACCCGAGGAAAAAAGTTAGAAACCCCTGGTGTAGAGGATGGAGTGTGGAGGATGGCCCGCTGACTGTTGGTGTATATTTCTTTGAGCAATAATGAATGGATGAATGAATGGAAGATGGATACATTTAATGCCATACTGTCAGACATTTCAAACAAAGTAATTATGCCATCTCCATGGAGACAAGCAGGTGGCGGACTCTCTACCCAAAAAGTCACACAATGCACCTTTAACTGATTACCTTTTATCTTTTGTTTAGTAGATATTTGCAATTTGGGGGCTAAAAGTATCCAAATGATTCTAGTGAAGTGAAATGTAGTGGAGCATTTCCTGTATTACCACTTAATGACATCACAAGAAGGAACAGAGTGTTTTCCATTTGAGAGAAGAACTCAGCCTAAATCTGCAGGGTTTGTGTGTTAAACGTGATTGAAAAAACCCCAACTCCAGGTCTGATTGTGATGAGGAAACAGAGATCAGAAAACATCTTAATATGGACTTTTGATGAATTTACTGTATGAAGCACTGTTCTATAAAGACCACAAGGCAATGCTATCAAATCCATCAAGGACCGAAAATGAGAAGGTGAGTTTTGTCTTCAAACATCTTCGGGGAAACATTAGCGCAGATGCAACATGAATCTGACTTAGCTCTTGAGCCAAAGAAGTCCTGAATAGTTTTCTTTGTAAAGGCCATGTCAGTATAATTCAGTACGTCTTACTACTTAGAATGTACTTGAGCTCTTGGTGAACCCCATCTCTGCTCCATCAGCCGGGCTAAAGAGAGCCCATTAAACCCGCTGCTCTGTCACGGAGCTGCTTTTAGCGTCGCATGTTGTTAGCGAAGAGACAGGGGTGAAAGTATCTGGGTCAGACAAAGTGACGATGGGGTTTCTTCTGTTACTGGTACTGCCACAAAGCCAGACAAACAAACACATGGAGGTCAGGTTATCAAAAGTATAAAAAAACTGGAAACTAATATCAGAGGTGGGGACTTGCATGCTGTGACTTGGACTCGAGTCAGACTTGAGTCACTGTTTTTATGACTTGAGACTTGACTTGATAAAATGGACTAAAACTTGGGGCTCGACTTGGACATGAAGGTTTATGACTTGGGACTTGACTTGGACTTGAGCCCTGTGACTTGAGAAGACTTGATACTTTTCCTAAAAATATATGTTTTTAGAAAATACAGTGATTAATTTTACAGGAACAAACTGGACCATGTTCCTCCCACTTCTGTTTGTTACTTTGGATGTAACTGAAGTACTGTGATGTGGTATCCTCAAATGTACTACAGTAATATAAAGTACAGTAAAACAGAGGAAACAACATAGAACATGATCCTTCCATTTCCTTCCAGACAAATGACGAAATAACTGTTATTAAGCGCTTTTAAATCTGGATTCCTTCTGTTCTGACCGTAATGACTCACACTAAGATCTTGACAAGATGTTTAAAAAGGAAAAAATTACATTTTTACAACTCTTATATAAATACTCATATATAAATATGACTTTTCTTGAGTACAGTCTTGTTTAAAATTCATATAAATTGCAAAACTCTAAGATATATTTGGTACTTTTTTGGTTTAAAGACTTGAAATGACTTGAAGCTCAAAGCAGACGACTTGGACTTGACTTGACTCGGACTTATGAGCAGTGATTCGAGAATCGACTTGGACTTGCCTGTATTTGACTTGGGACTTGACTCGGACTTGAGGTCAAAAACTGGAGACTTACTTGAGACTTGCAAAACAACAATTTGGTCCCACCTCTGAAAAACATATCGATACTAAAACAAGTATAGATACTGGAGACTAATTTGAACAAGTATCAATACTGAAAACGTCACATTTACAGGGCAGAAATTACAGCCATTAAACACCCTCCCGAAACTTGACTCCACCCTTAAGCAAAATCAGAAAAATCCAGACTGGGCAGTGTCAGGCGGATTGGGGGCAGCGATGATTGACAGCCGACTGACCGCCGCAACAATCCAACACAGCGCAGACCAGTGTGCTCCAAACTTTGAAACAGAGCAGACATTTGTGCTTCGATCACACCGTTTCCCTTTTCTCCAGACGCGGCGGGACATCGCAGTGACTGGAGTGCTCTGTCCGAGTGGAGCTGAGGGGGGCTCCTCACGTCCCGCCCATAGACGCCAGTGCCTGCGCTCGTCACGTAATAACCGGCATCTGACTCACTGGCCGTTTGTCCAACCTGAAAATTCAAATGTCCTGGCTGTAGTTGATCCTAAAGTGGCAGACACAACCCAAAGCCCAAAAGTCAAATGTTCAACAAATCTGCACTAAAATGCCAAAATAAGGCCAGGGATAGAGATACACTTC